GCACAGCAGCGAAACAGCAGTGTAGACTGCCTCAACAAGGTGAAAAGAACGAACTCCTGGGAGTTGTCCTCTGAACTCCACGTGTGTGTCGTGGCACCTGTACGCAAGCAGATGCTTGTGCCAGTTAATTTTTTAAAAATGTAAACATCGAAGATAGAAAATAAGAGGAAGAAGAAGGGAAGAAGAATCCTAAGGGCCCTGGGGGGGGACGACAGAGCCCCTGCGACTGAAAGAAAGCAAGGGGAACATGTGCTCAGAAGCCAGGCTCGGGTCCAGTGGGAGGATGGGCCACAGGCACAAGGCCTTCTTGATAACAAAGCCAAATACTGCAGTGATAGGCGAGTCCGTTCAAATACTGCAGTGATAGGCGAGTCCGTTCAAATACTGCAGTGATAGGCGAGTCCGTTCAAATACTGCAGTGACAGGCGAGTCCGTTCAAATACTGCAGTGATAGGCGAGTCCGTTCAAATACTGCAGTGACAGGCGAGTCCGTTCCAATACTGCAGTGATAGGCGAGTCCGTTCAAATACTGCAGTGACAGGCGAGTCCGTTCAAATACTGCAGTGATAGGCGAGTCCGTTCAAATACTGCAGTGATAGGCGAGTCCGTTCAAATACTGCAGTGATAGGCGAGTCCGTTCAAATACTGCAGTGATAGGCGAGTCCGTTCAAATACTGCAGTGGTAGGCGAGTCCGTTCAAATACTGCAGTGACAGGCGAAGTCCGTTCAAATACTGCAGTGATAGGCGAGTCCGTTCAAATACTGCAGTGACAGGCGAGTCCGTTCAAATACTGCAGTGGTAGGCGAGTCCGTTCAAATACTGCAGTGACAGGCGAGTCCGTTCAAATACTGCAGTGGTAGGCGAGTCCGTTCAAATACTGCAGTGGTAGGCGAGTCCGTTCAAATACTGCAGTGGTAGGCGAGTCCGTTCAAATACTGCAGTGATAGGCGAGTCCGTTCAAATACTGCAGTGGTAGGCGAGTCCGTTCAAATACTGCAGTGGTAGGCGAGTCCGTTCAAATACTGCAGTGGTAGGCGAGTCCGTTCAAATACTGCAGTGGTAGGCGAGTCCGTTCAAATACTGCAGTGGTAGGCGAGTCCGTTCAAATACTGCAGTGATAGGCGAGTCCGTTCAAATACTGCAGTGGTAGGCGAGTCCGTTCAAATACTGCAGTGATAGGCGAGTCCGTTCAAATACTGCAGTGGTAGGCGAGTCCGTTCAAATACTGCAGTGGTAGGCGAGTCCGTTCAAATACTGCAGTGGTAGGCGAGTCCGTTCAAATACTGCAGTGATAGGCGAGTCCGTTCAAATACTGCAGTGGTAGGCGAAGTCCGTTCAAATACTGCAGTGATAGGCGAGTCCGTTCAAATACTGCAGTGATAGGCGAGTCCGTTCAAATACTGCAGTGGTAGGCGAGTCCGTTCAAATACTGCAGTGACAGGCGAGTCCGTTCAAATACTGCAGTGATAGGCGAGTCCGTTCAAATACTGCAGTGATAGGCGAGTCCGTTCAAATACTGCAGTGGTAGGCGAGTCCGTTCAAATACTGCAGTGATAGGCGAGTCCGTTCAAATACTGCAGTGGTAGGCGAGTCCGTTCAAATACTGCAGTGGTAGGCGAGTCCGTTCAAATACTGCAGTGGTAGGCGAGTCCGTTCAAATACTGCAGTGATAGGCGAGTCCGTTCAAATACTGCAGTGGTAGGCGAGTCCGTTCAAATACTGCAGTGGTAGGCGAGTCCGTTCAAATACTGCAGTGATAGGCGAGTCCGTTCAAATACTGCAGTGGTAGGCGAGTCCGTTCAAATACTGCAGTGGTAGGCGAGTCCGTTCAAATACTGCAGTGGTAGGCGAGTCCGTTCAAATACTGCAGTGGTAGGCGAGTCCGTTCAAATACTGCAGTGGTAGGCGAGTCCGTTCCAATACTGCAGTGGTAGGCGAGTCCGTTCAAATACTGCAGTGGTAGGCGAGTCCGTTCAAATACTGCAGTGATAGGCGAGTCCGTTCAAATACTGCAGTGATAGGCGAGTCCGTTCCAATACTGCAGTGGTAGGCGAGTCCGTTCCAATACTGCAGTGGTAGGCGAGTCCGTTCCAATACTGCAGTGATAGGCGAGTCCGTTCCAATACTGCAGTGATAGGCGAGTCCGTTCCAATACTGCAGTGGTAGGCGAGTCCGTTCAAATACTGCAGTGGTAGGCGAGTCCGTTCAAATACTGCAGTGGTAGGCGAGTCCGTTCAAATACTGCAGTGGTAGGCGAGTCCGTTCAAATACTGCAGTGGTAGGCGAGTCCGTTCAAATACTGCAGTGGTAGGCGAGTCCGTTCAAATACTGCAGTGATAGGCGAGTCCGTTCAAATACTGCAGTGATAGGCGAGTCCGTTCAAATACTGCAGTGATAGGCGAGTCCGTTCAAATACTGCAGTGATAGGCGAGTCCGTTCAAATACTGCAGTGATAGGCGAGTCCGTTCAAATACTGCAGTGGTAGGCGAGTCCGTTCAAATACTGCAGTGATAGGCGAGTCCGTTCAAATACTGCAGTGATAGGCGAGTCCATTCAAATACTGCAGTGATAGGCGAGTCCGTTCAAATACTGCAGTGGTAGGCGAGTCCGTTCAAATACTGCAGTGATAGGCGAGTCCGTTCAAATACTGCAGTGATAGGCGAGTCCATTCAAATACTGCAGTGATAGGCGAGTCCGTTCAAATACTGCAGTGGTAGGCGAGTCCGTTCAAATACTGCAGTGATAGGCGAGTCCGTTCAAATACTGCAGTGATAGGCGAGTCCGTTCCACACTAAGATGGTACCAGTGGTGACAGAGATTAAAGGACACTGTCAGTGGAATTCCTGTCTCGCCCCTTTCCTCCTAGCTGAGCTTCAGTGTAACAGTAAACTCTAGTCAGGGATAGTCTCTTTATAAAAACAAATGCTGGCTGGAGTCATGCCTTTGCAGGAGGACCAGGCTGGTACAGCAGGGTCAGGTGTTAACCATGTTATGTACCCCCACTTCTACTCAGCTTCCCTTACAAAATGCTATTGCTATGATGCTCTGGGTTCCTGAATGGAACTTGATAGAGGAAATCAGATGAAGGAAAGTGGAAAGATGAACAGTTCCAATGAACCGAGGGAAGCTAGACTCTTACTAAATTGGTTTAGGTTGAGGAATGTGGGAGAACAGATGATTATACTTGGTGCTTGTTGAAACTGATGGACGTGGAGGCTAAGATGGGAATGAGCCTGACAGCCCTGGAAATTCCCAGAACAGCCTTCAAATGCTTTGGTGTTTAGCTAATTTACTCATTGGTATAATCGGATACTATATACTAATGATTTTAATCATAGTTAATTTTTTATTTATGGGGGGCAAGGCAGGACCCACTACAGCACACATGTGGAGATTGGGGACAATTTGCCAGAAGTCTGTCCTCTCTTCTATATGAGGTCGTAGGGATCGACTCGGGTCATCAGACTTGGTGGCAAACACCTTTACCCTTCACACACTGAGCCATTCCACTAACCCACACTATATAGCTAAATACTAATATATTACGGTAAAGTTACATGTGCTGGTTTTGCCTTTTCATCAAATTGTAAGCTAAGATAAACTCTTTCTACCCTAAGTTGTTATTGGGGGGGTTGGTTTTATTTTGTTGTTTGTGAATTTAGACATGTTATTGCAGCAACAGAAATGAAACTAGAACACACCTTCTGGGTCAGAGGTGGAGGAGGTACATGTCCATACAGCTTAGCTGTTCTAGAGAAGGGGTAGGCTACAAACAGCTGGAAGAAGACACAGACCGGGTGGAAGGGTGGTGTGCAAAATAGGAGGCTGTATGAAATCTTAGTGGAAAGGCCACTGCCCTGCCAGGGGAAAGGATACCGAAGGCACTGCCTACCTGCAATCTCTGCGCAAGTCCAGTGACAATAAGCCAGACAAGCAGTAGCCTCCTCCAAGATAGTGACCCCCAATAGTTCTTACTCTTTCAAGGGCATCACCCTGTGGTCCTGTGGTGGCTGAACCAGGAGCACCTCTCCAGGGTGCACCTTTGCTGTACCGGATTATCAGAGAACAGCTTCAAAGGATTAGACTACATAATGGTAGCCTTACAAGGAACATATCTGTAGAGAGCCACTGCTATTTGCACAAGCACATTCATGTGGGATCCATGCAAGTTTTCCAAAGGTGTCACTTCCACTACCTTTACTTACCCTTCAGATCTTAGAGATAGATACAGCCACCAAAATGCCCCATGATAGCACACACCACCTGTCCACCCATGTTGGAGGCTGGGGACACAGCTGTGCAGATCACCCAGCATCCTCATCACCACATGAACCCTACCAAGCACTCCAGTAATCGGCAAGAGTGTCGATCAAACCAAGGCACGCTATGAGGTGTCCCCAGCCATAATCTGTCCCTGTCATGATCTTCATCCTGATGCAGAAAGGCCTGGGGGTTGACACAGTGGCCTACCCTGTAAGCAGGGATGAAGGAATCATACTTACTTACTAAGATACTGGAAGTTTTGTTAACAGGGATTTTCTTTGTTTAAGGCGTATTTACTTTTTTTTTTTTTTTTTTTTTTTTACTGTATGAGTGTTTTGTCTTCATGTTATGTATTGCACCGTGTGTGTACCTAGTGTCTGTGGAGGCCAGAAGAGGACATCAGATCCTCTGAAACTGGAGCTGTAGACAGTTGTGAGTCGTCATATCAGTGCTGGGAACTGAATTCTGGTCCAAAGCAAGAGCAGCAAGCTGAGTCATCTCTCCAGTCCCGGCAAACGGGGGTTGAAAAGAGAGTGTTATTCCAGGGAACTCCTATGCCAGAATCACGTTCTCAGGCTGAATAACTTATCAGTGAATACACGTTTATGTCATTTGTTGCATGCTTTCTGACAATAAATATAGAAAACTGTTTGAGGGTGAATAGATATTTTTCTAAGATTTCTTAAATCTAAAACACATGTCTGGGGTATAAAAGGTATTTTGCTTTTCATTTTAGATAACGTACATACGACAAGAATATGAAACAAAATTCAAAGGGTTAATGCCAGCATCTCTAAGACAAGAACTTGAAGACACCATTTCCTCCCTAAAGTCACAGGTAACTCCTAGAGCTGAGGATGCTCTGAGATGTAGGTGGGCATGCATTCTGAAAGAAGCTTGGAAATAGCCTGACTCTGCCTTGCTCCAGAAATCTCTGAGCCCCACACTTACCCATCACCAGCTTGAGCTGGGTTAGTCCCCTGAAACTGGGTCAGTCATGGCAGCTTTGATTCTTTCCAGTCCAGTGCAGCTCTACCCCTTCTTCCTGGATCGGGGTCCACAATCCCATTCTGCAACACATTGCTGGTTCCTTGCTGTACTGAAGCATGGAGGAACAAAAGCATCTTTCATTTGGAAGCATTTTTTCTGGTATATTTTACATGGTTTTCAAAGGTATATGTTTTAAGCCCAAGACAAAATAATGTTAAGATATTCGAATAATTAGGTTTGATGTTTCTTATTGAAGTAGTTCCTAAAACATAAGGTAAGAGATGAACACTTGGGAAACTGAGGCAGAAGAATCACAAAATTAGGCCCAGCCTGAACTACATAGCAAAATCCTTTCTCAAAACAAAACAAAAAAACTACCCAACAGGTTGTTAGTGATGGAAGAGTTTGAGATGGTTTTTACCCTATAGCAGTGACTGTTCTGAAACTCACTGTGTAGACCAGGCTGGCCTCAAACTCACAGAGATCTGCCCGCCTCTGCCTCCTTGGTACTGGGATTAAAGGTGTGTGCCATCATGTGTTGAATGTTTTATGCATTGTCAGTCTATGAAGGTGTGTGTGTGTGTGTGTGTGTGTGTGTGTGCATTTGGGTGGAGGGGGTTGTTTTGTTTTTTGTTGCTATTCTTTTAGAAAATGTCTCTACATCACTCTGGCTACCCTGGAACTCACTGTGTAGACCAGGCTGGCCTTAAACTCACAGAGATCTACCTGCCTCTGCCTTCTGAGCACTGGGATTAAAGGTGTGTGCCACACCTGACTACCTATGAGTTTTTAACTCCCACATGAGGAGTCTGCATCATCTTATTTCCAACACACTGGGAAACTTAAGATATATGCATTCCTGTAATGGTTCCACAACGGAAGGGTTTCTGCACTCTGAATGCTAAGAACTGTACCTGGTACATAGCAGATGCTCATTAAATAATAAAATAACCAATGTAGTCCGATAATTCTAACATGGGGTGTTTATAATATGTAAATGGCCATGTAAGCCAAACATAGTAATGTATCCACCTTTAATCCCAGCACTTGAAAGGCAGAGGCAGGTGAATCTCTGTGAATTCAAGGCCAGCTTGGTTTATATGGCAAATTCCTGCCTAGCCAGGGCTACATGATGGGCGATGGGAGGCAAGGAGTAAGTGGAGTGAGGGAAAGATTGTGACATTTCCTTGGGCCAGACTAGCCTAGAACTTGCTAGAAAATGCACGCTGGCCTCCAACTCCTGATAATCCCACCTCAGCCTCCCCAGTCTTGAGCCACCATGACAGCCTGAAGCAAATGTTAGCTGACTCTCTTATATTTCCCTCAGTAAAAGGCTGAAGTGAAGGGTCCTTTCCATCAGTCCTCTTCCCACTGCCCCCTGCTGCCGTCGGAGGCTACTAATAGGTTCTGCCATGCTTGCCTCTGCCTATGAAAACAAAAGATGGCGGGAGAGCATAGTACGAAGGGTACGCAGCTTTGTCTTTATGTGAAAGGCACTCAGAGGTGTGGTTTGCCCATCAATTTCACGGAGGGGCGTCCACGGGTCAGTTACAGGGGCCTGGTGCCCTCAGAGGAATTCTTGTTTTGGAGGAGGGGGGTACCCACCTGCATGGCTTCTGTTGTCGTTCATATCATTTCACTGTAATAAAAGCCACTTCAACCACTCAGAGGTGTGGTTTGCCCATCAATTTCACGGAGGGGCGTCCACGGGTCAGTTACAGGGGCCTGGTGCCCTCAGAGGAATTCTTGTTTTGGAGGAGGGGGGTACCCACCTGCATGGCTTCTGTTGTCGTTCATATCATTTCACTGTAATAAAAGCCACTTCAACCTCCTGGAACTGGATGTTGACCCAGAGAGAGCGCTGCCAGCTGCATGAGGGCCTGGGAGGTGGCAGCTGTGCGGAGGAGGAGGAGTCGCAGCCTTAGAGTGAGCAGATTTAGTTTGGAAACACAGGTGCCTGTGTTTTTGAGAGTTGTTGAAATTCCAAGGGATCGCAATGCAGGGTGGGGGAGGAAGGTTGAAGCAGTGTGATCCTTGCATCTGCCCGAATTATCAATTGTCCTGTGGGTCATTGGAGCAATGGATAAAATGAAGAGCAGGCGCTATTAGCAATAAGCAAGCCCAGGGACCGCTTTGATACACACCCATTTGGGCAGCCTGTGCTTTCTCTCTTTCAAGCACGTTTTTGGTTCTGCCAGCTGTACTCTTGCGTAACTATGCCTTAGAACCAGCCGTTGCCATGGTTTCAGCTCAGACCAAAGAAGCAAGAGTAAACAGCTCTGAGCAGATCAAATGCCACTGACTCTTGATTACTTTAAACCATAGTGTAAGCTGTCCCCAAACCATTTTTTATGTGGTTGGATGAGGTGTTTTTAATCGATGCCTGATATATAGGTGTCATTGATCCCAAAGACATTTATACTTCAAAGAAGTCAAATGTACTATAAAGATCTCGTTGAAGAAGCCACGCTGGGCAATAGCTTCTCCTAACCTCCAGCCCTCCACTCCATGGTGGTACCTACTGAGGTCTATCTGGGCATTTACTAAGAGGCACATCTCACCACACTTAGAACCCTGGGGAGCAGCTGTCATGAACCCCATTTCACAGATGACACAGCAAGAGCTGAGTAACCTTCCTAGAGCCTTAGAGGCCAAGCCAGGGATGGGACTCAAGTTGGCCCAACTCCAGGGAAAGCTCTAGCTCTTCCCACTCCAAAGCCCTGTCTCTAACCTCAGGGAAATCCCCAGGATGGATTTGAGGTTTCCAGAAAGCAGTAATTTTCTTTTCACTCATTCATTCACTCATGAAACAGCCAGGACATACCAGTTACATGCCCAGCCTTGTAAAAGAAACTGGGGACTCAGAGACAGACAGTCACCCCTCTCCAGGAAAGCCCTTAGGTTTGGGAATAGACGTGTAAGCGTAACCACAAGGCAGCGTGAGAAGGCCCAGGGCGCAGGATGCACAGGAGGGGCGGCTGGCTTGGGACAGGGCTAGGAGCTGAGAGCAGCTGGGGAGCAATGGGAGGGCCGAAGATTGAGCTACCCACGGAAGACAGAGGAGACTTTGAATAAGTGTTCCAAAGGGAGAAGTGGCCCTAGACGAAGGCTAACAGTGAACGTGGTGTAAGATGGCAGTGGTGATGAGGAGAGAGAAAGCCACAAAGATAGAATGGCACCAGATCAAGATGGCCCTTGGGATAGTTTATAGTTGGCTCTGCGGCCTTTGATGGATTTTTGGTAGAGACAGGATGTGGTGAGATATAGGAAAATGCATTATTAGCATTCACTTCCACCGAGTTTTATCCAGGAAACTCCTGAGTTTAAGTAAAATCCTAGCATACTATGTGTCCAGGGTTGACACATGCACTTTTCTCACACATGCTGTCTTTCTAGGTCAACTTTCTACAAAAGAGGGCATCCATCCTTCAAGAAGAGCTGACCACCTACCAAGGCAGAAGGTATGAGCAGCAAAAGAAACACCTTCCCATTAATCTAGTCTGTACCCCTGGAGTCTTTCAGCTTGGCATGCAAGTCTTCGCTGAAATGTCTAGACACAAGATAAGTCTTGAAAGCAAGACATTTTTAATGAACAGCTTGTCTTTGAGAAGTCACCCACCTCTTTAATCACAGGGCTTAGATTCATCAGAAAAAGATTCGGGAATCTCAGGGTGTGGCAACTAGGGACCTCACCTGGGCAGTCAGGCAAGGTGTGGTCATGAAGCCCAGCTGTGGACTGAAGGAGACACCATCTTCCTTTAAGACTGTAGCATGACGCAATTCTTTGTGATGGCTCACATCTTCAAAGTCCCTTACCCCTCGGGGTTTGGCACTGTTCTGCAGGCCAGAATAAGTCAATGGTTTTGTGATGTTAAACATTCACAGAGATGGAGTGTCCTGGCGGGCAGGGTTGTGGGATGCTGGAGACCTTCTTAAAGGTTCCCAGTGATATGACCAACCAGGGCAATGTTTACAGATGGTCCAGGTCAGCCAGGCGACTTTACTTTCAAGTGCAGTCACAGGCTGGGCTGCGTACTTGGCATGGAAATAAAAGGAACGAGCTTGTGAATCATTTACTTTTCAAAAGATCCTGTGTGCCTGATGATGATACGATCAGTTGCTTATAGGCATACGTGATGAAATGTTGATAGCAAATACCCTTTTGAACCTCCAACTCCTCCAGAATTGTAACACTTTTTACATTTGACAGACCTATTCAGACTTAAAAAAAAAATCCTAACATGGGTTTTTGATTTGCAGGTAACTGCGTGGGAGAGCATGACGGGTGAGATTGTCTGGGCTTCAGTGTGAGCTTCATCCAGCAGGTTTGAAGATTTGGATATTGTGAACTGTGAGATCAGTGGCTTTTTTTTTAATGCTTAAGTGTAATTAAGATCATAAAAACATGCATCATCCATTTACTGGGTTGGTTTTATTTGTGTCTGCCTAAGTTATTTTTTGCCATCTCTTTCTTTCTGACCCCATGTTTGTATTAGAGTATGTGCTGAAGACTGCTTACATTGGGCAGGGATGAAAACTCCTGTGGTGTGCCTTGGTAATGCATTACAAGGGTCTTGCGTGATACATGATTAGAATCACGATTGTAGTATCTTAATCAAAATTCTTAACCCATTAATGCTGTTCCCATATTCCTGTTCATATATTAAAATATTATTTCATACAATTCTATTTTCTTTCAACCTTTTATCACACCTCATCTGCTAAGTATGATATATACATGATATTTTTCCCCCAACAAATACTGACTACTTTAGTTTCTGCTTTGGAGGAAAATACCTTTAGTCAAAGATCAATTCATAGTTTCAGAATGAAAACGCTGTCCAGAGTCAAACCACTAGGTCATGCTTGTCATGTGGGTCTCCAGTCTGTCCCCTGAGGCTACGGTATTACAGGATGGGGACACTGCAGGCACCTCTGGTTTTCCTGTTAACTTTTTTGATGTCTCCTTTATGGTGGCTGCTTTGATTGTCACATCGGTTGGTGATCCTTAAGAAAGCCTAGCAGCATTTGACCATGTTTTGAGGATACGGTCTATTGGCAAGAAACTGTGCCTGTCCGTTGGTCTTGTCTGCAATGTGCTTGCGCTTATGAATGGTGTTTAAGCCTGGATTGTTTGCCCACACCAGTCCTGTGCTGATTGGTCAGCCTGGTTTGCCAAAGAAACTGAGTTGCAGTTGCAAAGACGCTCTGATTTCATTTGTGTGATCCTGGTGTGAGCCATGGGCCTTTTGAGACACTCTGAAAATGGAGAGAGTGGGGAAAATGGGTTGTAATCATCTGGTTTACTGTAAAAGGACAGGAGAGATGGTTTATTTTCATTTATCCAAAATTCTTTTCTCTTTCCCATGCCCAAATTTGCCAGTAGCTTGCTGTCCGAGGATTAGTTGTCCTTTCTTGTACCTTGTCTGAGACATGGGAAGATAAGAAAAACCAGGTTTTACAGCCATTTCCAAACCCCAGGCAGGTCAGGGTTTGTGGTAGCCATCAGTTGGAGGCTGGCATCTCTCACAAAGTCATCTTTGTGAAGCCACCACCTTCCTGGTGCCTCTCAGATGTCCTCCTCCCCCCAACCCCTCCTCCAGGAGTATACATTTGTGTCCTGTGAATGATCACACAGGTTTCAGGGATATTCACAAAGGAAAAAAAATAGCAGCTGTTATTAAAGCCACCTAACCAATGAGGACAGTTGACATTCAAGTGGTGACTTAGCACTTGGAACAAAGAAGGCTGTATGGTTAATGTTAAGTGCTTCTGTGGGGACCATGGAAAGCAGGTTGAGGTCAGAGGACTTCAAGGTCATTATTGGCTGAAATGAAAATACTTACTGAGTTGTTTTGTTTGCTGAAATTGGAACTCCCACTCCGGAATATTTGTTTTCCATGAGTAAATATCAGTAGGTGTTTTGGAAACTTGCCCGCTATTCTTTCTTTTCCTTATTTCAAGCGTTATGAAATTAGGAACACTGGTGAACCTTTGATACTACCCAGATCCCATTTCCCTTCTGCAGTGTGCCGAGCATGTCTGGGAGTAAATGGAGTAAAACTTTGAGTCAGTTTGATTGGATGTGATAGGAAGGGGGAGCTGACACTCGGGCTTTTGTGAGTGATCTCTGATAAAGGAAGAGAAAGGAAAATTCCTTTTCTCATGTTTGAAATTCCTCACTGAACTGAGCACTGAGTTATAAGTGGTTACTGGGACAAAATGCGAGTGTTCAGCAAATAAATTATAAACACTGCACCTTATTATAAAATCATCTAAGATTGCATCCTTTCTTTTATCTGAGGGAGGATCAATTGTTCACCACGAGTGCCTAATTTAGCTGCATCTCCAGGTATCGTTGTTGGCTACCTTGCGCGAGCCTCCGCCTGTGCCTTTTGAGTCCAGCATGCAGTTGTCAACAGGTGGCTGATGAGAAGGAAGCTCAGCTTGAGGTGCTGTGGCTGGGTCTGACCACTAGACCATCTGCAGGAGTTGGGAAGGGAGGAGCCCAAGGGAAGTTGGCAGCTCAGTCACATGTGTGCGCATCATAGTTGCCTAGAAGTCCATCTCTGCTTCCCCAGCAGTTGGACCTTTTGGGAGTCTGACCTCTGATTCTGCAACCTCCCCACTCACCAAAGAACTCCACAGAGGGCAGCCATCAAGGGATACAGTGGAGCAGGAGGAAATCTAAGATAGAGGGAGAAGAGGACTGGCCTGCTTCATAGGCTGCACGAAAGCCTTGGCGGCGAGGTGGCCAGAAGGGGATCGCTCGTGTGCTGAGACCATTGTGTAAATGCTGCGTATTAACAGCGATTCTTCAGAAACTGCCTTGCGCTTAGGATGGCAAGCAACCTCATTAAAGGAGTCTGTGGAGAGAAGTGCAGAAGGAAAGAACTGGGAGTTTGAATTAACAATTAACAGCATCCTCATTGAAGTGCATCACCAGCCAGGGAAGGCAGCGGCGTTTGTGCTTTCTGTCTAAGGGTGAAAGGAAAGGTAAGACATCAAAAATGGTGGGAGAAAAGTTTCAGAACACAAGGTCATTTGAATCCTTAGTTTCCTTAAAAGAATCTCTCTTCTGAGCTTTCATATCTTGTTCAGAAAGGTCGCCTCTTTTAAGCCTTGTCATTAAAGACAGTTTGCTCTTTAAAGTGAATTATCAAAGGGTGTAGAAATTGCGAGTTACTGAGACTAAAATGCATGATCAATTTTAAGTGTGCTAACTAAAGCCTGCTTAAATGTGCATGTGCTTTTGTGCCGGCAGCCGCTTTGGTAAAGCCGGGGAAGGTGCATGGTTGGCCAATTCAAAGTAGGGAAAGGAGATAATTAGATAAAACTTTCTCAACTCTCTGAGTGGATCTTAGCTTAGAGAAAGGAAGCTATGGCAGAGGCCCTAAATGGTATTTGAGGAGTGAAGTGGAATGCTCCAGGCTCTGACAGGGTGAACATTAACCTTCTTCACTGTGTTGTTTTAAAAAATAGAACCAAGTGCTTGAGAGGCAGAGGCAGGCGGATCTCTATGAGTTGGAGGCCAGCCTAGTCTACAGAGTGAGTTCCAGGACAAGCTTCAAAGATACACAAATCTTGAGAAAAATAAAATAAAATAAAAAGAATCAAACTTCAGATCGTATTGTTTGCCTCATACAGAGGGAGAGAATTGAAATTGTTGTCATGAGACCAAAGAATTGTTAAAACTGGTTCCCTCTCCAGTGACAAGGGCAGCTGGAACCCTCTTCCTCCAGACATGTTAGCTCTAAGTCAAGGTTTCCATTGGACAAACATTTTTACATTGGAGACCTAAATGCTGCTGTGAGTATTGCCATCTAGAGGGGGATGCTTGGCCCAGATGGGAGGCTGACCAATAGTCTGCTGTCCTCTTGGGGAGTCTGTCACCTAAAGCGAGGTATCCTGGGATCAGCAGGGCACACAAAGGGTGCACACAGAGACCTCATCATGGAGCAGAGCATGGCTAAGTCCTGAGAAGCTGGCTTCATCAGACTAGATGACATGTAGTTACAGGGGTAAAGCCACTTTGTCCACACTATCCCTTTAGCTAGGAAAGGGATGTAGCAGATAGGTGACATCCACTGTTTCTGTTTCCCTGGCGATTCTCTTCACCCACATGGGCCTCGCTTCTCTAGTCTATCACACTATCATGTTGGACTATTTCTGGAAGTATCACTTCAACCCTTTCATTTAGTATTTCTCAAAGTAGCAGAGCATGAGAACACACTGGGGAGGCAGAGGCAGGTGAATCTCTGTGAGATCTATGTCAGCCTAGTCGACATAGTGAGTTCCAGGACAGCCAGAACTACATAGTGAGACTCTGTAGACAAAAATAAGAACAAAACACAAAATAGTGTTTCTTGAGTCAGTGTCCATCAAGGTCTGTTTGGTGTGACTTGTCTCAAAATGTTCTGATGTTCCATTTTGACAGCTGTAACATGCTCTACTCTTCAACTGAAGATTCACATGCACTACTTGATCCTTTATTTATGTATTTGTTACTGATTGTCAGCTGTGCTCAAGCCAACAGAGTGCTCCCAAGCCTGCTGGCATTAGCTATAAAACACAAGTATGTGATGTCTGTCCTGAGAGTACGGATGACTGGTATACTCGGGTGGGCTGCTCTCACTCAGGTTCCCAGGAATGCCATCAGATGGGGAATGTGAGCCCACAGGGCTTCCTCATATTCAGGAAGCTCACACTCCCAACTGACTAGTCAAGCACAAGAGAGACGAGGCACAGATACCAGAAGTCATGTAAGTCCTGGGCCCCAACACCAACAACACTTTCACTATATTCCATTAATGGCAAAGCCCTAGAGTCAAATGTAAAGGACAGAACTTGAGCAAAGTTGGAGCCTCTGTGCCAGCTTGGCCATGCCATAACCTTTTGTTTAAAAAAAAAAAACCTGTTTAATACTTTTTTTTTTTTTTTGGTTTTACGAGACAGGGTTTCTCTGTATTGTTTTGGAGGCTGTCAGTCCAGCCAAGCCTCGAACTCACAGAGATCTGCCTGCCTCTGCCTCCCGAGTGCTGGGATTAAAGGTGTGTGCCACCACCATCCGGCTGTTTAACAGTCTTTAATCTGTGTCTTAGTTAGGGTTTCTATTGTTGTGAAAAGAAACCATGACCATGGCAACTCTTATAAAGAAAAAACATTTAGTTGAGGTGACTCATATTTTCAGAGGGTTAGTCCATCATCATGGTGAGACATGGTGGTGTGCAGGCAGACATGGTGCTGGAGAAGTAGCTGAGAATCCTTGACAACGGGAAGTGGTCTGAGATACCAGGTGTAGCTTGAGCATTTATGAGACGTCAAAACCCACCTCCACAGTGACACACTTCCTCCCACAAGACCACACCTGCTCCAACAAAGCCACACCTCCTAGTAGTGCTACTCCCTATAGGGGCC